GTATTGGTTGTTTGCATGCCTGTGTAATACTTACATGATACATGAAACTTCATGTTAAACAGGTAAAATTACTTGAAAACATAGGTGATCATGAATGACACACATTATGTTTAGATGTTTCTGTATTTGTGTACACCTATGCAACGTTCACGTCTCTGTTTATAAGCTTTTCCTCCCAAACACCCCTCAGTTTGCAGCCATAGGGTTTCCAGAGGTGAGGAGAGCCACTCCAGAAAGAACTAACAAATGGCTCCATTCACTGATGTACGATTGTACCAACACTACTCAACATGCAGCAGCCTTCCTTCTGTCCTGGCTCCTCCTCACCAGAATATTAATTTAAGAAAATATCTCTGTTTGATGTTAAATTTAAAATGTACATTGTTGAATCTATCAATATAGCTTTAGAAAGTAGCAGGTATTGATATATTCTAGAGTAACAAATCTCATTAAGTAGCCCCTTTTTCTGATAATTTCAAAATGACTTCATATGTGTTTTCATGTAGAACAACAAAGAAACAGTTCAGAAGAGAGTGACAACTAATGGTGAAGATATTCCTATAGGCTGTAAGTAATATTTCCAATAAATATTAGGTATTCAGCAATACCAAGTATTGTTAACTAATATGCTGTCTATAATCAAAATGAACCAATGATCCAATATAAATGGGAATGCCATACTCAAAATACTGTAAGTGGGGAAAGGAAGAAAAAATTCTATATAGAATATAGAGCTTTAAAATAATAATGTACTATTAAGATACATTTCTAGTAAGGAAAAATAAGCCATAGAGGTCAGAACTGAATGAAATTTATCTTCCATTGCTTCTAACAATTTTCATTACTATCTATTTTTAGACAAGTCAAATGTTAATCACTGTGATTTTTATTCATATTTGAATGAACATTTATAGGAGATATTTAGTGGATATATGTTTCATCTGGAGTAGACAGCAAAGGTCCTTGTTATTCTGTTTATTAGTCATGTCACGCTTGATGTCTTTGATTAATAACAACACTGTCTAATTTAATTCACATCAGAATTGTGCTTCAAAGAACTGTATTAATCACGCAGAAAAGAGCAACAGTGAAATATGTGCCTAGATACTTTTTGTAAGTTTATTTCTGTTTACCTATAACTTAGGGAACAAAGAACTGTTATAACAAAAGTAAGGGGGAAAAAGCAATTTGAGATATATCATACCAAGAGTCCCTGATGCCACTTTGAGGTCACTGGCTGACCAGTAAATATCATGTGAAGAAAAAAAAAATATTTTAGGAAAAAAAAGTTATTATATGCCTTCTGGGAATGTGTTTATAATCATATTTAATAAAACAGACCCCAGACCAAAAGTAATAAAAACAGATGCTTTCAATTGCATGTCTGGCATTGTTCATAATGTGCTGAACATTCATTCACTAAGCCAGGCTGTATACGCTGAACATACTGATGATTAAAGCATGCTGTGAACTGTCTTAGCTTCTCACAATGACAGAGTTGATTATTATGATCTTGAAAATGAAGTATCATCTGCTTATGAGAGAAATGAATAGATGGTTCTTTTCTACCCCTTTGACATCAGGCGTTTTACTAAGACTGTTAACAGCCATGGTGTGTGTAATATATGAATGAGTACAGTCCTTATAGAGCATGTTCCCTTATAGAGGTATGTGACTGAGGATGGCTAATTTACAATCTGCTCTATGAGCACCAAAGAAACGAGCATATATTAAACTGTTAAAACGTGCGATCCTCCATATTAGATAGGAAGCAAAACACAAACTGTTCGGTTGACTGGAAATGCCACCTAATCCCTGCTTAATTAAAGCAGCACACTCTACACTCCTGTTGTGTTGAGGGAGCACAGAGTGTGGGACGACTGATGGATGAGGAAAATAGCAGTCAGCGTGGCTAATCTCAAAGACTTGGGAGCTTTCTAGCTACATAAATCAGCGCGACTTCTGAATAGCCTCATAAAACACCGTATCATTGCCATTCCACTCACGACGTTTTGGTTCTTCCTACAGCATGCAGATCGTTAGGAAACTTCTAAGCAATCAAGTAATGTGGGCCTGATGAAATTACTCAATCAATGCACAGGCCCAAAGTAGAAGCATAATTCAAACTTGCATAGTTTTTATATGTAAAAGACCTTTCTTTCACCAGGGCAAAGGAGGTGATTCAACATGAAGTACTATGTGCATGTGTGCTTATGTATTTAGCAATTAAATACATGCAACTAGTAAGTGCCTCTAAAATATGATTATCAGAAAAGTCAAGCAATTACAATATTATGTATTTTGAGTAGTATAGATACATATTCATCTCAATCATTGTGGTTCAACCATTAAAGTGTTATTTCCTGATCATAGTAAACTAAATCAACAAATTTATTTAACTAAATTTATTCAACAAAGTATTAAAGTTTAATATGCGATTGTTTTTATTAAGCTACATGCATGAAGTAAAAGGAGAGGGGTGAGGATTTTCATACACATCCCACGGTTCAATATCAAAAGCATTCAGTATTTAAAGAGCATAATAGAGCAATGACTTTTTATCTCTCCAGTGTGCTGAACCATCATTGCAACCACTTTCCCATCCGACTGAGGAAACCTTCATTTCTGCATATCTCTTTACATCTCTAGGGGTGAAATATTCCTTTCCAAAGGTGTCATCATTTTCAGCCTTTGAGTCCTGAGCTCCTACTATTCATATTTCTCGTATGATTTCATGAAAGCAATCACCTAAAGAACATTCCTTTTCCTCACTGACCCAGGAAGCTAGCTGCCCCACTGCATGTTAACTGCTGCCTTACGAGTTAAATACAGGTGTACCAGTTTTGAATTTCTCATACTTCAGGTAAATGTGCAGGAAAGGGGGCATTTAACCTTTGAAGTACACAGAACTAAGCCAATTTTCAGTACATTATAAGAGGTATGGAGCTTTTAAAACTCAGTGTCACTGCAATATTAGGTAGTCTATAAAAGATGCCAACTCCCTTGTCTATTGCACTAATTTCATTCAAGCCAAATCAATTGAGAAAGAAGTATTTCTCTCAGTTGGTTATACAGAGCGGATGCACACAGTTAGATTTCTAAAGAAATGTGTAATAGCTTCACAGTCACTTTTGAGAAACTAGTTATAAATAAGTAAGCCATTTCACTCTGACAGACAACAGTGGGAAATTGACAGTTATCTCCTACTCTGAACCAAATGCCTGGACTGCATTGTGAAATAGTATTCCTCTCTTAAAGACTATCAAGATATATACATATATACATGTTTGTAAATCACGTATTAAACACGAAGAGCACAGAATAAGCACTTATCTCGGGGGAGGGAAGCAAGCATAAGTCAGAAACCCCTAATCATGGAATAAATATAAAGAAAGGTATATTGATCACATCTCCAAAGTCTTACCCTCATCACTCAACAACTAGACATAAATTCATGCCGTTTCTTTACGAGGAGCATGGTTCATTTCCAAACTCTTATCAGAGTGTTCCTGAACCCCTCAATGAAACCATAATTTCTCCCTGGAAAGTTCTGAACCTACAGGCACTGTTAGCCCCCAGGCAAAATGGGATCCAGCTGGCCAGCTATCTAATGCTTCATTTTCTTAATGCACAAGGGCAAGGCTTTCTGAATTCTGACCTCATTAGCCCTTGCACAGAGACATACAGTCCCATTGATATAAATGATAGAGAATGGCAGACATGTTTGCGGAGATAGCCTATAATACCAAAAGAGGGAGCCCCCTGGAGCTGAGAATCTGCCCACCACAGGCACAAACACTAGACAGAAGCCCCTGGCTTGGGAAGAATTGCCACCTGCAGCTGGTTTACCTGCTAGGGGTGTGTGTGTGTGTGTGTGTGTGTGTGTGTGTGTGTGTGTGTGTGTGTGTGTGTGTCACGGTGGAAGGGCAAGGGAGAAGCTGTGACCCATCTGTCGCCTGGATTTGCAGAACAGGAAATCGTTTGTACAGATAAAACTCCTGTACCAAAAAAAGAAGAAAAAAGAAAAAAATAAATTTCCCCAGAGGGGTCTCACTGCAGCCCTGCAAAAGAACCTTGCTTGCCCAGGAGGCGAATTTCCGAAAAGGAAATCATCACATTAAGGCAGAAGAGGCTGCAAAAGCCGATCTCCACTCAGCTCTCAGGGATTAGCAAGTGAGAAGAGTTGGAGCCCTCAGCTATGGGCACCCTGCATGATAATGACTCCAGCCCCGCCGCTCCTGCCGCGCCGCCGGCCGCTCTGCTCGCCCATAGGTGGGGCCAGGATCCTGGCGACCCGCCGGCCCTCCGGGAGCTAGGGCGCAGGGCTCGCCCTGGCGCAGCTCAGGAGGCTGCTGTCAGCGGTCGCCGTGTCTGGCCGGGCCACGAGAGCGGCCTGCACCGGCTTCAGCGTCTCCCACGCCCCGGGCCGAGAGCGTGTGCCCCGCCATCCTCTCCCGCCACCGGGTCTCCTGGACCGCAGCGGACTGCGAGCTTGGGCGTCCGCACTGCTCGCCGCAGCGGACTCGGCCGCTCACGATGCAAAACCACCTGTTCGAGCCGCGGGGAGCGCCCCCAGCCCCAGCCCGCGTCTCTCCCGGCGGATGACAGTGCCAGCATCACCCCCCCATCATCCCCCGCTCCGTGATTTTTTTTTTTTTTAATGGCTCAAATGTACATCCGGGAAAAATTGGGAAGCTAGAGTCAATCAAACTTCCTTCTCCCCACAACCCGAGTCCCCACACTCCCTGCACTCGTGCGCGGAGGCCAGCGTGAGCCCCCTGCGCCCGGCCCGCACTCCCCGCCCGCCCTCACTCCGCGCCGCGAGGCTCAGCCAGCCACAGCTGAGGGAGAGCTGAGCTTGTGCGAGCGCGGGCATTAAGGGGCGCGAACCGAGGCCACTCCAGCAGCAGTGAGAGGCTCAAGGGGGTGGGGGAGCAAGAGATTACTGCCAAGGAAACATTAGGGGAAAATCGCCACAAGCCGCACCAGCCTTGTCTTACCGATGTGGATGATGGAATCAGCGGTCGCCAGGTCCCAGGTTCGAGACCACCAGAGGGACAGAAACAAGAGCAAGGGGAAAACTTCCATCCTCCGATGCAGATCTTCCTTGACCACGACTTTCCTTCCAATATGTAGATATTCTTTTAACCGGTCCACAGAGTTTGAGGTCACGATAGAGTTGAGTGCAGCTTTTCCACTAATTTCCAAATCCCTCTCGCCAGTGCACAGTCTTTCTTAGTCGCCGAGGAGGCACAGGCGACCCGAGAGCTAGCACAGCCGGAGGCAGCCTCCTCCCAAGCCCTGTCACTCGGAGGGGAATTTTGGCATCGCCAGAGTTGTTTGCAG